GGCCTCCCGCCCTGCCGACTCCCTCCAGGGCCGTGAGTCCTCAGTGTCACAGGAAGCCACTTAGCCCCTCCGTAAAAAGAACGTGTTTTGAGGCCCCTGCAAGCTTAGATAACAAGGGCGAGAATCGAACCCAGCACGGGTGTGTCCGCAGATTAACAATTTGGCCTTTTCACCCCGCGCATCCACGCCGCTGGTTTCTCGCGTGGCGTCGGTAGCTCGTGGGCTGTGCCCAGGGAGGGCGGCAGTGAGCAGATGCTCCTAGGGCCCTGGCTGCCGGGGAGATGCGGGGCGAGGTCCCTTCCCGCCTTTGGGCCCCACGTCCTTTGTCAGCCGATCGAGTCAACTTGCGTGTTTCTCTTTACTATGTGTCTCAATATATAGTTGATTCATCGAATTCGTGGCTACTGCCTCTGACTCATGCCCGACTGAAGTTTCCCTGAGACGGGTATCCTCTCCCTGAGGCACGTGACTGGCAGCCTTCTTGGGATCAAGAAGCAGGCAGCACTTGGGCACTGGCTTGGGGGTGAAGTGGGTGAAATCACCAACCAAGAAGCAAAAAAACATGACACCGGAACGGCTGTGAAAAGGATACTTGTTTATGGCATGAGAGTGGAGACAGGAGAGACGTCATCTTGCTCAGCTCAGTTGGAAATGGACACCCCTGCTCACGCCAGTTTTTCACCACTTTGCACATGTGGTGAAAAACCCACCCCCAAAAGCCCACCACAAGTATTGATTTGGGGACTATATATAAATTGTAGCAAGCAGGCAGATTCACAAATGCAGAATCCACAAATCATAAGGACCAACTGTGTACGTATGTGGTTTTTGTGTGTCCCCTTTTTAATTTTTTTGAGTCGGAGGTCTCACTCTGGTGCCCAGGCTGAAGTGCAGTGGCACGATCACAGTGATCATGGCTCACGGCAGCCTCAGTCTCCTGGGCTCAGGGGGTCCTTCCACCTCAGCCTCCTCAGTAGCTGGGACTACAGGCGTGAGCCACCATGCCCAGCTAACTTTTTGACTTTTTTTTTTTTCTTTTGAGTTGGAGTCTCAGTCAGTTGCCCAGGCTGGAGTACAGTTACACACTACGACCATCCCAGTGTCGGTGATCCTTCTGCCTCGGCCTTCCAGGTACTGGAACCACAGGCACATGATACCACCCCCAGTAAATTTTTTGATTTACTGTAGAGAGGAGGTGTCGCCATGTTGTCCAAGCTGGTCTCGAACCCCTAGGCTTAGGCAGTCCATTCACCTGGGCCTCCCAAAGTGCTGGGATTAAAGGCTGAGCCACTGAGCCCAGCCTTTCTTTTGTAAAGATGAGGTTTCCCTGTGTTGCCCAGACTGGTCTTGACCGCCTGGGCTAAACAATACGCTCACCTTGGCCTTCCAAAGTGCTGGGATTATAGGAGTGAGCCACCACACCTATCCCATTACTATTTTCTGAGCCCTTTGAAAGCTTGCTGTAGACATACTGCCCCATCACTCCTGAATACTCCAGTGTTGATTTCCCAAAAGCAGCTAGTAAACACTCTCCAGCCATCCATGTCAGCAAATCAGTGTTGAAACAACGCTAAGGCCAGTCCATAGACCCTGTTCACATTTTTATCAACTGTGTAAACAATGTCTCTTTTTTCCTTTCTGTTCTAGGATCCTATACATAATCACATGTTCATTTTTCTCCAAGCTGGAATATTTCCCTGGATATTCCTGTCCTTATTAAAGGACAGAGACTTTTCATATGCATAGGATGACCTTTAGTCTGAGTTCATGGGTATTTTCTCAGGACTGAACTCATGCCATGTTTTCTTGACAGGAGTACATAAGAGGAACAGGATTTCAACCAGTTCTACTTTGGACTGTGTTCATTTAATCTGGTCATACTGGTATTTGCTGGGTTTCTCCATCATAAAGATACCACTTTTTTAATTTGTAAATTTTTTAAAATAATAAATTATGTATGTGGGTGTCAGGGTGTGACTCCTTTCACCAGACTGGAGTGCAGTGTTAATGACCACAGCTCACTGCAGCCTCAAACTCCTGGGCTCAAGCAGTCCTCCTGCCTCAGTCTACCAGGTAGCTGGGACTACAGGCTAGCACCACCATGTCCAACTCAATTTTTTTATTTTTATTTTTTGTAGACGTGAAATCTTGCTATATTGCCCAGGTTGGTCTTGAACTCCTGGCCTCAAGCAGTCCTTCCACTTCAGCCTCCCAAAGTGCTGGGATGGCAGGTATGAACCATTGTGCCCAGCCTCATTTGTAAACTGATTTGTATTTTCTAGAGTGACATCCTGAGGTCACACTATCATCTTGGTCTTCATCAGATCTCTCCGCGCCAGTCTTAACCTTCATCAGTGACTTCTACTGAATCCCTATGATGACTGCCAAACAGTGCTTCTTAAAATTTCCGTTGTTTCTTCCCCGTATTAGTTGGCATTCTGCTGTAAGGGAGAGGTTTCTTTTCATTACTCTTTTTTTTTGAGTTGGGGTTCTCACTCTCTTACCCAGACTGAGTGTAGTGGCACAATCACAGCTTGCCACAGCGTTGACCTCCTGGACTCAGCCTCCTGAGTAGCTGGCATGTGCCATCACACCTGGGTAATTTTTTTATTTTTTTAGAGACGAGGTCTTGGTGTGTTGCCCAGGCTGGTCTTGAATTCTTGGGTTCAAATACTCCTCCCAATTCAGCTTCCCAAAGTGCTGGGAAGACAGGTGTGAACCACTGCGCCTGACCTATTTCTTACTTATTTGTTACATTATATCAGTATGGACTAATGGATTTCTATCTCATTTACTGGGTAGTATTCTGTTGCTGTCATTTATTCTGATGTTCACATCATCACAGATTTGGTCAGTGAGTGCCCCTTCAGGTTGGCTCCTGAGTCCTTCTGATGTGTCCTCATCATTCTTTGTACCCTTCCTTACCTCCTGACGTCAGATCGTCCAGGCTTATTTTGTACTGCCCTGCCCCAACCCTGGAATCGGCTATTTCCCCGCTGAACATTGGTTCCTCTTAGCTGAAGATGATGTCTAGAAACCAGAATTTGGGTGAGTAGTGTGCTTATTCCTTCTAGGGTGCCACTGCTTCTAGGCCCTCTCAGTGGATGTAGGCTAGGAATTATATGTATGCATGTGCATACATACATACACATGTCTATAACGATGTCTATATTTGCATATCTATGTTTCCCGAGACATAACCCTAACCGCACGTCTAGTTCCAGCCCAAGTCCTCAGGGCTCTCTGTAGCCCTCTGCCTCCCATGGCTGTGACTGTCTTCTTCAGCAGCGAGGAGCCGCCTCCGTTGTCCTCCATGTGTTTTCTCGTTGGCTCGGTGTGACCACGCTCCCAGCCACTCTGGCCATCATCTCCACCTGCTGCCTTTGTGTTCGCCCCCTCGTCACCCTACGTCCTTGATCAATGACAGGCACGCTGTCTCCACTGAATCTTCCCCCCCACCTTGTTGAAAGTCTTTAATTTTTGTAGAGGGGAATTTTCTTTAAAAAGAGCATTTGCTAAGGAAGTATAAATACAGATACAAGCCGTTAAGATCTTTATTCCTAGGTCAAAAATCATATGTGTGTTACTATCCTTTTTATTAAAAGCCCTAATATAAGGACTTCTGATAAGTACAAATATCTACAGCCTGAATGCTATAAGAACTTAAATTTCCAAAAGTCATTTAAAAATATTAGGTAACCAAGCCAAGTATGGTGGTGTGTACCTGTAGTCCCAGCTACTTGGGAGGCTGAGTCAGGAGGATTGTTTGAGCCCGGGAATTCATTCAAGCCTGCAGCACTACTGCTCTCCAGTCTGGGTGACAGAGCAAGACCCATCTCTTAAAAAAAAAAAAGTAGCCAGGCTCGGTGGCTCAGCCTGTAATCCCGCGCCTTGGGAGGCTGAGGTGAGTGGATTGCCTGAGCCCGTGGGTTGGAGACCCACCTGGGCAACTTGGCGAGACCTCATCTCCACAATAAATCAAAAAAATCAGCCAGGTGTGGTAGCACATGCCTGTAATTCCGGCTACCTGGAAGGCTGAGGCGGAAGATCGCCGGAGCCCAGCAGGTTGAGGCTGCAGTGACCGTGAGCGGCCACTGCACTCCAGTCTGGGCAACAGAGTGAGACTCCAACTCAGAAAAAAAAAAAAGAAGTTAGATAATCAGGCAATTGAAGTACAAGTATATTAATCATCAACTACTATCAGGAAAATGGACTGAATATTTATTACCTTTTCCTGTAAACTTTATTCCAGGTATGGAAATGAAAACTTTTATGTAGATCCATGTATTTCCAGATTATCTGGATCTTGCTAGAACCAGTTGTAGTACACTTATAAAGTAGTGTATTAGTTTCCTATTGCTGCTTTAACAAATTACCACGAGTTTAGTGGCTCAAAACAACATAAACTTTTTTTAGTTTTTTTTGTTTTGTTTTTTTTTAATTGGAATCTCACTCTGTCACCCAGGCTTGAGTGCAGTGGCATGCTCACAACCACTGCAGCCTTGATCTGCTGGGCTTAGGCGATGCTTCCACCTCAGCCTTCCGAGTAGCTGGAACCACAGGCACGTGCCACCAAGCCCGGCTAATCTTTTGTTTCATTGTAGAGATG